ATCGCATCGGCATCGCAGGGGTGGCGAATGCCAACTTCACAGTACCCTATGTGAAGTTGATGATATTGAAGTTCCTCGGTTCAAATGGACGTGGTTCTATCAGTAACGCAATTAGAGCCCTGAACTACGCGGTTGAGCATGGTGCTAATGTATCCTCTAACTCCTATGGGGGAACATATAAAACTGAAACCGCGAGAGTCGCATTCGAGAATGCCGCGGCTGCTGGACATGCTATCTTTGCCGCTGCTGGAAACTCCGGGAAAAATCTGAAGAGTTGGCCATCCTATCCTTGCGAGTTCGCAGAGAACATCACGGGTATGCTCTGTGTCGCGGCCAGTACTTCCGACCCGGATAGGCCCGCCTCTCTCGCAGACTGGTCGGACGCTGGATCGGTTACTAAGATCGCCGCTCCTGGTGTGTGGATCTATTCGACGTTTCTCGCAGGACAATACAATTATATGAGTGGTACTTCGGCTTCGACGGCTACAGCTGCCGGTGTCGGCGCCTTGATCAGTAGCTTGGGAGAAGCTGGTGGAAACTTAACTGAGGTCCTTCTCAAGTCTAAAACAGCTGGTATTCCCAATAATTTCAACCTTACCGATGTCGGGGAGATTGATGCTCTGGGGGCAGTTGAAATCAGCCGATGACTCATCGGCGATGAGAAGCGGTGGACCTTGATCCGGAGAGTCTCGCCCACCTCTAAAGTCCCTATGATTTCTTTATTGATTCGTATCGTCAAGAAGTTGGCTTCAATCGGCCATCTAGCCGCTTACTGGCATCATCAGCATATCTTTCTAGATCTCGAGTAGATCATGAACTCCGTTAAACCTGTTGTCAGGCCATTCATACCAGGCCCGATTTATCTTGACAAGTCCTTTAGTCACAGTCTCCCTACTTTTCAAGAATAGATTTCAGGATTTTAAAATTGTCCATGTGCGTTGTGTTTGAGATGTACCGTTTTTCGTCATCGAAATCGAGAATGTGATGCTACAGGAGTTGATCGGCAAGTAGGCGTTTTCCGGTAGTGACTCGGGCGAGCGTCCTGAGAGTTGGGAAGGCTCTGACAGAGTATGACGCACGCTTGCGGCGAGAGCTACGAGTCTTGCTGTAATGAATGAAGATTGGCGGCTCCCATACCCTTCTTTACGCCCTGCAAGCCAGGGGCCTATATCACAAGCGTCCTTAGAT